TATATATATATATATAACAAATCATACATTAAATCAGGGATGCAGGAGCCCCGTAGCCAATGCTCCTTAAAAATGACAGATGTTTCCTAACTTTTGAGTTTTTCTCTAGTATAGTAGCTGGAAAAATATCTGTAGTTGTACTTATACCAAGTACGGTACTTGGTATCTGTGTACACCTAATTTTAAGGATCTTGAAAATTAGATATCCATATTGATCAGATAGAGCATATCCATACCTTGATGGATCATCATAATATTTAAAATTGTAGGCTTTTGGTTCTTTTTATAACAATAACCAAACAGGAGCTAATTTTCTCAGGGAAAGCAGTGAGCATCTTCTTTGATAAAATTATAGGAGTTTAAAATAAAGAAAAATAAGCATTTTAGCAAAATAAAAAAATTGTATGCATAAGTCATAGGTACCATGCAAACACATTTGATCACATTAACATCAAACACATTAACAACATTAAGATTTGGGGGTCACTGTAGACCATAAACTCAATAATAGATTACAATGCCAGGTTGCGGTAAGCAAAGCTAGTAGAGTCCTGTCCTGCATCAAGAAGGGAATGTTTTGCAGGGATAAGTCTATAATTTTGCCACTTTACACATCACTGGTTCGGCCTCAGGAGCTATGCGGTGCAGTTTTGGGCACCGGTACACAGAGGGGATGTCCTTGAACTGGAGAAAGTCCAGCGAAGGGCGACCAAACTCATCAAAGGGATGGAGGACCAGAGCTATGAGACACAGTTACTAAATTTAAATTTGCACACAGGGCTCAGTCTTGCCCATCATGTTCTTGACAAATAAAGGAAATTGACTGGAAAATCTACATGGGGGAATTATATATTCTCCATAGAGAGCTATGAAATGCACCTGTGCCAAGAATATGAACTTTAAAGCATTTAAATATAGCAGTAAACGATGTTTAAAGCAAGCCCTTACTGACCTTTCTAGCAGCAGGCACTGTGTTAATTATTCACAAAGATCCCAACAGAGGCCCTGAAGTCAGGCTTCTAACAGCGTTAGAGGGTTGTTTACAAAAACAGGTTTAAACAAAGATTAAACAAACAAAAGATTAGACACGCATACAGCTACAGAGGTCAACAAGGGATTTAAAGCTCTTTTACTGCTTGTAAAAAGGGCCCTGGCATCCCTGGGTCACTTGAAAACATAGCCCACACTGTAAAAGACACTTGCAAGTGTGCTAATCCTGTAGTGGCGTACACCGTCAAGAGAAATATAGTTCAGGAGGAGTTGGCTTTATGCAGCTGGAAGTGTTGAATACCTGCAGCCACCAGGGAGCAGCAAAGTGGGGAAGTTTAAAGACATGGGTCTTCAGCATGGGTCTTTTACAGCTTCTTTTACTTTATGCATATTTAAATATTCATAGTTTGAGCACAGGGTGACTAACGGGAGTCGGACATTTTTAGAACAGGTAGCACTCGGTAAGTGGTGATGGGAGGGGGACGAGCTAGGTGTCTTTCCCCCCCAATGGAATGCAATTTCAGTCACAATGAAGCATTGTTTGCTTGCTTACGACAGCTTTGTTCGAAGTGGTGAGTCTATCAAAGCAACGCAGCGGCTATTTCGTCGAGAATTGAATGTTGGTCGACACGGGGCCGTTCCCAGTCGCAACACGGTCCTCAGGTTGGATGAAAATGCAATAATCATAATGAGCGACAAAGCTCATTTTCATTTGAGCAAAATCTTTGGTACTGGGCTCCTGAAAATCATGGGAACACTCAAGAAAGACCTCTCCACTCTGGATGTTAGCAAGTGTGGTATGCGGTTGCCCCTTTTGGCGTTATCAGCCCGTATTTTTTCTAAGAAAACGGCGTAACAGTGACTGTTAACTCAAGACGTTACATTCACATG